TTTTTGAAACTATTATAATGCTTTTACCATAGGTTCATGGCAGAGATATTATGCAATATCTCAAAATCTAGCTGAAAAAAATCATATATTGTTAATGATGGAGAACTTTTTGTTGTTCTGAATTATTTAAAAATCTAGGTTTAAAAAGTTTCAAAAAATGCAATTTTTTTCCACATAGTGTTCTATGCAACTGTTCTAAAAATAATGATTTTCAAGAAATATAAGAACTTGTTTCTCAAAAAGTATAACTGTAACACACAAAATAATGCTATTTCACTGGTAAATGATTGTACATAATAAACTAATGATCATTGTCATGCGATTTATGACCAATTTTATCAAAAATTATGAGTAGGCTTCTTCATGAACCTTACTCATGAACACACTGAAATCTCAAAAAGGCAAGATTTCAACAAGATAGCGCCCTCACAGTTTAATCATGAAAACAATGAAATCTCAAAAAAACAAAATAGCGCCCCCACAGTTCAATCACAAACACACTGAAATCTCACAAAAAGCAAGATTTTAACAAGATAGCGCCCTCACAGTTCAATCACAAACAAACCGAAATCTCACATAAAGCAAGATTTTAAGATAGCACCGACACAGTTCAATCATACACAAACTGAAATTGCACAAAATGCTAGATTTAAACAAAATAGCACCGTCACAGTTCAACCTAAAACACACTGAAATCTCAAAATACAAGATTCAAACAAGGTAACTGTTTCACAGTTCAATCAAAAACACACTAAAATCTCACAAAATGTGAGATTTAAACAAGATCTGAGCATGATCACTGTACTTTCAATACGAAGTTGTTATTTTCTCAAGTTGATATTTTCATGAAAAACTAATTGGCAGCGTTTTTTTTTTCTTCAGCAAAGTATAGGTTAATGTTGAATGAAAAAACATGTACATCAATTTATTTTTGATCCAATAGGCAACTAGTTTTCACACGTGATTGTCCCATGCTAACAATCAGTCAACCATTAATTTTGAGCCCTGGAATTCACACGTTGCCTAAACTTTTAATGAAATATAATTGAAATGTCTTCACTCGAATTGGATATAAACAAGACTTACTTGCTGGCTACGTTGAGATCTGTAATAGGAACTGGTGGGATCTTCCAAGGACAAGTCACCCTCCCTCCAGGAAGACGCTTGAAATCAAACTGGCAACATACTTGTGGATCTGGACCACATGTATGCGGTACGTCATAACTATAGAATGGCATCATGTGACAAAACATATCAGTAGTTGAACCATGGTCTGTGTAAACAATGAAACAAGACAAATGTTAACAACAACATCAATGCAGACAACGACAGACATATGCAACTTGGGTCTGCATATATAACAATCAAATGTTAACAACAACATCAATGCAGACAATGACAGACATACAGTACTCATTTCGCCCAGCCTCCCGCCCGCTTCCGGATTTCGATCGCTTTTTTTTCGCTCGCTTTGTTCAATTCGACCGCGCAATTTCCGCTTTTTTTTCGACCGCGCAAATCCGGAAGTATCCGCTCGCGCAATCGCTCGCTCGCTCGCTCGCCTGACAGAGCAACCGCCCGCATTTACAGTTCATTACCTACTGTTTCATGTACAAGTGTGTCATTTTTGTTTTTATGATGTTAAAATAAGAATAAATACAATCAAAATTTTATAGAACGACCGTTGAAAAAATACGGTGGATCACACGGCCATATAAAATTGGTAATAATACATACGCGTAAGCAATAATGTCCACCATAAACAAGATCGAACCAAACATGTGAAATCAAATACGACACAACTAATATGAAATAAAACATTCTATTTTTTGGTGGAAGAGCTAA